CATTTGGAACAGATCTTGAATTATTATTTTTATTTTGAAGCTTCAAGCCCATGTTCAGATGTTACAAAATAAGCTCCCTTCACAGTCTCAGAAAACATTGCACAACCATTGTGTTACACTGCACAGTGTTGAAAGAAGAGTGAACTACACTTCTTGTATAAAGCTGGTCATTTAACTTCATATCATAAATCTATTTCTTTAAAAGTGTATATTTCAAGTATTATAATCAACATAATGCAACTTGACCTTTATGTGTGCCGCCTGATAGTGTTTGCACGCCAGCTGTTTTCAAAGGCAGCCATGTTTCCCACACGGCCAAACAAATATATAGTAATGACATGCAAAAACACTCCTCTTCATGAAGACACTATAAAGCAAATTTCCCTCAAGGAAGAATCTGTTATGTTATTAGTTATGTAACTGTAATAGTGAGCTAGACTTTTGATGTGACTGAAATAAATCCATTATCAAAACTAGTGAACTAGTGTGCTGTGGCAGAACCTTTTTATTGTGTCCCGGCCATCATGAATATTACCTTGTAGTGGAATGTAATTCAATTTATTAGACCATCTAATTCCATGGATTTAGATGCAATTATCCATTTTCGTGCACTGTTTAGTCCAGCATGTTTTTTTCTCTCAGTTGATCCTGCTGAATTAAGATGTTATAGTAAGATTAGTGCCAGCAGAGGGGAAAACAATATACCTTACCCGTCAGAGTGAATGGAGCAATAACATTTATGTTTATTCTTTGAGGGCAAATAAGCAGATTAAACACTTTCACTCCTTTATCCAAGATAAAATAGAGTTTTTACAGCCTATTTATCCATATTTACCTGTGCTGAGGGTGGTGAAACTTTACCTGAACGATATAGGCTTTGCCACTCTGACCAAACCTCCACATTGGTGCTGGTATAGTGTGCTGGTGATATGATCTGTAACAGCAATATAGGAGGGGTTGCCATGTGGTGCAGAAATTCATGGTCCCCATAACTAAGATGGCCTTTAGTGCCGACATGAGTTTTTCACGCTGAAAGTGATTTTGAGTGAATTAGCTCAGCTGTAGGCATCACCCTTTAATTTGCTTCAATCATTCATGTCTCCAGAAATTCATATCTAATGTCTTTGAACTAATTTAGAAACATTAGCAAAAAATCCTAACTGTAATGGGAAACATGGTTAGCTTTACACCCCAAAACAGCTTGTTTGTTAGCATGTTAGCATGCTTACAGATAACTAGCTTTAAGAACTAATGCACCCCAAAACCACAGCCTTACAGAAATACTTGATTAAAACCTTCAAGTTATATTTAACTTTTACTTTTCATTTCTGTGGCAGTTTTTGTTGTTGTTGTTGTTGTTGTTGTTGTTGTTATGGAAGCATTAAACGTATTCTCTTATAAAGCTAATATTTTCAAGGTAAACATGCAAAATATACCCTTTTATTCTGTTGTTTTCTAAGACCAATACCTTCCTTGTAATGTGTATAAGAAATTGTCCAAATAAACTGAATTATTTTTCCTGTGGACGCCCACAGCTCACTCTTTAGCATGATCCACTCTACGGCGGTAACCCCTGACCCCTAAACACCTTGAGTCATGACATTCACAGCCATACTTAGACCAGGAACGTCGTGCACGTTGCTAAAGATCAGAGACTACTGACTCTTGTAGGAACGGATGGATTTATAGCCTACCAACTTAGCAGTTCATGGACACGGTGAATAACCAGCAGTGTGAGAAATGTTTCCAGTGTGGCCGCACCCTGACCACTACATCTTTTTTCAGTCCTCACACAGCCCTGGTCCGAGGTATCCTAAACACATACGCTTAAATTTAGACTGGCTCAGGCTGACCACAGACACAGCCTAACCTCCTGAAATCTGACACCCACTGTCTGCTGTTTCTCTCTCTCCTGACTCTGTGGGTAGGTGCGTTTTCACTTTCTAACTTTTGTTCACCGATTTCCTTTGTTGAGCACCCAACCATCTCACACACAAACTCCTCAGTCTCTCATAACCTCTCCCTCTATTCTTCGTGCTCGGGGGCAGCCGACTGGAGCTGATTTACTCTGTTTGCACAGAGTTGGAGCTCACAGTTCTGGAGGAAATGAAACGTTAAAGTTACATGCTGATACGATTCTTAAAAGCCCTTTCCATTATCACTTTTTTGGACTGACAGAATTCATGCTGTGTTTATCTGAACGATCAAACAATTGTCCTCCCTAAATTAAAAAAAGAAGAAGAAGCTGTGCACATCTTTCTTCTGTTGACAAGCTTACTGCTGGAATCCTGTTTATTCATACTGGAGCATTTCCTCGGTTGTTGAGTGTGTGTCTTCAACTGATTTATTTCAATTTGTATCCAATAAGTGAATAAACAGTTGGTGATTCCATTAATAATAGTGGAGCAGTGAAAAATTTAACAGGAAGGTGGAGCGAGAGAGCAGAGAGAGCAGGTGAAAACACACAGCAAATCTGACCCATTTTCACCTGCTCAACCAGCAAGACGTCTCAAAATCTGCTGTCCTTCTGCGCATAATATCTGACAGTTTGATCCTTTCAGTGTTCTGGAAATATAGTTCTATCTGGGGACTGGTCTACAATGGAAACGTTCCACTTTGTTTGACACTTTTTTAATCACATTCAGTGGCGTATCGTTCTGCTTTCTCAAGTAAACGTTACTTTCTATTGTAGTAAACAGGCTTTAGTTTAAGTTTAGATAGATAGATAGAACTTTATTAATCCCTCGGGTAGGTTCCTCTGGGAAATTCAGTTATATGTTATATAGTTATATATAGTTATATTATATAGTCAGTTATATGTATATATGTTTTTCTATTGATAGAATGCTAGTTTCTCTAGCTCTGTGCCCATCATTTAAATTTGCTGATAGTTTAATTAATTGATCAATTATTCTTAGCATTAATATGCTTTCAAATTGAAACATGAATATCCAAGTAAGGTCAATCCGATGAGGAAGATTTACTTTTGCCATTCCTCTTCTCAGTTCCTTCTCCTCTGCAGCTTAGTGCTCAATGGCCCATAACGGCTTCCTGATGGCCGGCTATGAACATGATGAGATCACTAGTATCACTGATCTCATCATCTTTTCATTCACACTCACACGAGAAGGGAGAGGGGAGAGCATATGCACAGAGACACTTGAGAGAATTGGAGGAGAGGGTACAGTAACAGTGACAGCCTCAATATGAATGTAGCCGTACAGATGAAGGCCGTATGGCTGTCGTGTGTTTCAGAGAGCTGGACCTGCATTAACGTGTCGTCTGCTACAGTTAAGCTGCACTTTTGTAAACGAGTCAATCATCACACATAAAGCATATTTGTTTTTGTTTTTTAAAGTGTTAGACTCACAGTAAATAAGACATCAATCAGATTTCTTCAGCATTTTAATTTTGTTTGTGTGCATTTTTTGCACCAAAGATGGAGTGATATAGATGCAAGACAAGGAAGCACTAAGCAAGTCCTGCATTTTTATTCTGTTGAAAAACAGTGTTTGTTTTTTTTAAATGAAAGTGAATGACACCTTTACGTGGGCAGTGCCTGCTGGGTGTGGAGAAACAGATGGCTTTGGAGACAGTGGTGCATGTTTTATTAATAAAGCTCACTGCCCAGTTATGGCATTACAGGAAAAATGGGTGCATTATGCATATCCCTGGTGTCACCGGAGCTTGATGTTTAAGCTACATGTCTGATTGATTCAGACAGTGTGAGTGGGTGAGTGGGAGTGGGATATTCACAGTGAAAATATGCATTCAAATCTATTCGTATGTTTTAAGAATAAATATAATTTGTCATTTTCCATAGCATAGAAGACAATGGATAATTAATTTTACTAAAAAAAAGTAAAGAAATGTCTTGAGACACAGGTCAGTGGCAGGAGTGAATCTGTTTTTGCTTACAGGGAAATCAGTGGGCGTGCACACACATACACAACACGACTCTCCACAGTTGCACTGCAAAACAAGATGGCCACAATGAAGCAATCCAGACGACCACCAACTCTGAAAACTTTGTCAAATCGGGATTTTTGAGTTGCTGAGTGCAAAAAGGCAACACATGACATCAGCTCAGCTCAGAGAAACAAACACGATTCAAGAACATTTCTCATCTCTGGCTGAACTGGACCAATCCCAAACTGTTACACAACAGTCTGGACAACAGGCTCGGACTGTGATTACTCATGTCATCGTTGGGAAATTAATAGAGACCTACTTTCTGCTCATAAGGGATAGAAAACATAAAAGTGTTTATCCTGATATCTGATATCTACTGCTTAAATGAAGCAAGAAAGCTCTTTCTTTTTTCACTCAGCCGCTGAGTCCTCCTGTAATTCCCGTGTCCTCGTCACCACTACCTTTCAAGACTCTAAAACAGAAAATCTGTGACAAAAGCAAGAATAATTATGCAATTATGGCTGCACATTCTTGTGGTGTTCTGCTAGCTCTTCTGTGTTTTTAATCACAGTTTGGCAGCAGTTAAACGTGTGGTCTGAATGTAACCTTTTATTTCAGGAAATAGCTGAAAGTTCTTATCAGCAGCAAACCATTAAGATATACAATGCACTGAATGGTTTGTGTTGAAAGCTGTATGAATATGGCTAACTAAGAGTGAATAGCAGCAGTCCTGCATCTGTCTGGTTTCTGCAGTCCTATAAATACTGTAGGCCCAGTAGGAGGAGGAACAGCGGTAGGTCCAGCAGGTCAAGTTGCCACATATGAGCAATCCCATATGTTTTGTAACACTCTGCATCCTGCCAGTTGGGAGAGATTTTAGTGGCAACAGAAAGCAGTACAGTTGGAGATGACAGCAAAAACAGGTGGGAGCCAAGCCAGCTCCATCTTACTTTTTACATCAGCATGTCAGAATCCCTTTAAGTAAGTCACCAGTCGGTCAAGGAGATTCTTCCTGACTGTGGAAGTGCTCACACTTCAGATCAACCCCACCTTAAAAAGACGCCCATTGTGTCTGTCTGTGCTTGCAGGCGGCCTGGCTGAGGATTCCTCCAATCTGTGAACCGGTGGGCATGTGACATCACCCCCTCCGCCCCATCTCTCCCTCCTTACATCAGTGCATCTGGCCAATCAGTGCTCAAGGAGATCCAGTCACATGAGAATCCCCCCCCCAGTCTTGGTTACCATGACAACGAGCACTGGTCCAGGCAGCATCTTGCTGTGGTGAGAAAAGAGGAGGTGGAGGGGGGGGGAAGAAGGCAGGAGGAGAGGCAGAAAGAGAAGAGGAAAGGGAGGAAGGAAGATAGAAAGACAACAATTCCATTCTGAGGAATAGCTTTTGGATCTTCAGCTTGTTCCTGTCTTCATTCAGTACAGTGAGTACTTCACCTTTATTACCCACGTTCACCTGCTGCACTGCAAGCAAATGAAAGGAGATCTGATGCAGTCCTTTGTCATCAGAATTGGATAATGTGACATGGCAGATGCCTTTGATGATTTCAGGGATGGCATCAGTAATCCCTTTGTGATGTGGAGAATGCATGCAGCCTGCCTCACCTTAGGTAGACAACCCTTTGTCTGTATGTTTACTCAAAGGCTGATGACAGACCTTAACAGCAAACAGAGCCATGGTGGGAACCAGGGTGCTCAGCGCAATTAGAGGCAATTTCATAACATGGTGAAACTCCTTCTGATGTATTATGCAGCGAGTCATTCAGCCTCCAACCGCTAATCTTCGTCCTGTCTTTCTTTTTTTTTTTCCATTTCTACTCCTCCAAGTCTGTCTTCCTTTTTCTATCTTGCTCATTTCCACACAATTAGATCTGGCTGACACTCTGTGCCCCACCGGGGTTTTGTATAATTAGCAAATCCATGGAAATTTCAGCTGGGACAGTTTGCTCTGATTGCAGGACTTGTATGCTATGTAAAATGTCCTTGTGGTGGTAGAAACAGAGAGGTTTTCTAGCTGCAAGTTAATTCATGGTCAAAATGTTGCTGTTTTACATTACCTTACATTTGAACCTCATACATAATTGCAAAGCATGCAAGAGAGATGATGCAGAGTCACTAATAAAGTGCTCATGTCCTGCTATAGAAGGAAGCGTGATGTTTACAGGCTGTTGGATTTTTTTGCTTTTTATTTGTGTGCATTACATGTGACTTAACCGTGATAATCTGGTTAGTATATGGCATTATACGATTCTGACTTCTGCCCGTTTATCTCTCCTTGTATATTTGTACTTGATATCCCTGTATCTTATCTTCTCCCTGCGTAGGTGGGACCAATATTTTTCAGTATTTTTTTAGTATATACACCATATCATTTATTAAATTGTGCTTATAAAGCTCTTTTAAACAAAATAAATCAAACTAATACTGAACTACCAACTTGGCCAAAGTTGTAGTTTATATTATACGTGCCTTGCGTCTCAGCCGCACTATCTGTCCTGTGACATGAGCTGATGGGAAGGTGTTTGCTTGCTAGCTGCGGTAATGTGCCCAGAGCTGATAGCAGCTGAAGGGTTTCTCCTTTCAACATGGCCTAAGAATGTAGCACCTTACAGAGAATATAGATAATCTTCTTCTGATCCAAGTGGATGAACTATATCTCAAGCTGCCTAATCTTTGAGACTGGACTGTTTTTGCTTGCCTGTGATCCAGTTAATGAACCAGTAATGGCTTTGAATGATTGGTTAATAAAAACCTTTCTTTTGACAAGGTTCAGTTGCAGTCTGGATTGCAGAACCATTTTTTTGTAGTCTGGGGAGAAGTCCATGTTGTGACTGAAACAAAAGCAGTGTATCAGTAATGCACATTTCTGTCTGCGGGAAGCAGCCAAACACTCACTAAACTGTTTCTTGCCATTTGAAAGTGATTGTTTAAAACTTATAATTTTCCCAAATTGTAATCTTATGGTTTTCCACTGAGGCAAACTTCAGCCCCTTTGAAACCACTGCACAATCTGGGTCTATACTTTGTTAGAAAACAAACAAATGAGCTTTGGAATTTCCTTTGGAATCATATTTTCAAGATTTCCTACAGTGGAAAAGAAGGAGACTTGCAGATAGACACAGCAGATACACACGTTTCAGGAATGTTAACCATTATTTTATGTCATGCGCCTCATCACTCCAGACTACCTAGAGCCTACTTCTTTTACTGTCCATATAAAACTCCCGGGTGCCAGAGTGCACATCTGAATCACGCCTCTATATTCTGGTAACACACCTGTGCGGATGATGCCCAGTAAACAATTTTATAGTAACCCATTTTTGTGCAGGCTAATTATTACTAGCAATAATTTATCAATTTTTACCCCACAGGTTAAGTCAATATTTATATACACAATCGCCCACAAGGCAAACGGGAAATATTTTACAGTAACTGAAAGATAACTAAATAAATAAATACAAATAAAGTTTGACTGTTCGGATATCACGTTAAATGAAACCCTGCCGGTATCCCCGGTTGTCTAAACCAGTTTTAATGTTTCGGCCAAGGTTTCGACAGCATGTGAACGCAACACTGCTGCTGCGTCACGTTGGAAGAGACCAATTGGATTAAACTGAGTTAAAACACGCTGGCTCACCTCAAGAAAGAGCGGGGGGTGCTCACCTTGTACTGTTAGAGAGATTGAAGTACAAGCTAGCACAGCGTCGTCTCTTTGCCGTACGCAGTCTATTACTGCTTTGTACTCTTATTTCAACATGTAATACAGGAACATTATTTGCTCGCTCAAATTTCAGGAACATACTGTTATTTACAGAGCTGCATGGCCCCCCCTCCTTGTCGGCGTTATGGTTTCGACGGATCCCTCTCAGTCAGTTTCAAGTTGCGCCTTCTCGTCTGCCGTGTGGCTCTGTGCTCTATATCCCTACCGAGCGGAAAAAAAATAGACATTCCCGTTTTGGCTTCACTGTGAAATTTGGATTTACACAGGAAAATGGATTTAATAGAATTATTGACGATTGGATTATAATCACGTGGCATTCAGAGGTAAGAAGACACGCTTCTCTCAGTCGTTTGACAAACAGTGTTTTTTTTTTTTTGAACGTTACCGTGGGATCCGCGGGCTGCACCTTCGCACGTTTGGGAATGTCACGCTCTGTTGGTTTTAATAGAGCAGCTAACGATTTAACTGCATTGGCCTGTTATAAATCTCAATTTTCTTTGTGCAAAGAACATGCACATTACTGGTGCATCACAGAGGAAAACCTCGGTTCTAATGGGACAGCCTGTGGAATGTAGTGGTGGTATTAGTCACTTCCACACAAATATATCCATCAGTACAGAATGCAGTCCAAGCGCGACAGTTTACCTGATGAGTCGGCAAAGAAACTCAGTAATATTTGTACATCACTGAGTCAGAGGTGACATTTGAGAAATGTCGTTTTGGGAGCTTGTTTCGGGTAACAACACAGCCGGAAAGAAGTCATGTTAGGTAAACGTTAATGCACACACTTTGTATTCGCAAAAGATGTTGTTACAGGAGGCTGGTATGGAGCTGGCTGCTGCTTGCTCTTGTGTAAATCTCATGCAGTCCTATACATCCCGTAAGTTTAGATATTTTGCAAGTGCTTTTGTTGTCTCTCAGTACCTGGTTTGTGGCCAAGTGTAAAGGTTTTGACGTTAAATCAAAGTCTCCTCCTAGACTTCAGTGATGAATGCTTCCACATGTCATTTTTGTTTTTGTTGATTAACTGTATGCTGACATTAACATTAATATCATATTACTCCAGCTGGCTCAGCTGGGCCCATACAGCAGCAGCAGCCACTCTGTGGTTAAATGGAGCAGAAGGGTCCTGACCTGACAGGCCAAAGTCTCTTATCCTGTCTCATCTGAGTGATTGGATTTGTTCTATTGATTAGTTATACTGAACCTTTGTTTCTCGCATTTCAAGAGCTTCCTTCCTACACTGTATCTTTAAAGACTTTGTACATCTACTCTGAGGCCACAGGGTGCAGTTGGGTAGGTGGGTGTTAACTGGGCTGTGCTGTATCTGTTCGCACCTTTGTGTTATCATAACTAGCAGTTTCCCTCCTAGATCAGGATGTGGAGCAGAGTAGGAAAGGATGTTTGCTTGGTGGCTGACTGCAGTTTGGCTTTCTGAAGAGAAGCCTGACATAATCGTTCAAGTATAGTCAAGCATGCAGCGTCCTCTGCAAAACTAAGCTGTGCTACAGTGGCAAACTTGGCTTTAAGTTTATATTTCTGTGTTATAAACACAACCCACAAAGCATCCAAAATACATCAAAACACAGCAGCATGAATTTGATAAGGCAAGCTTTTTAATGTTTGTGTTCGTGAGGGAGGGGAAGATAAAGCTGACTCACTTTGCCCCCTTACTGACCGTCGCTCAGAGAGTTAAGGAAACTAGCTCTGACTCTGACCCTCTGTGAACCTGCAGTATATTGTGGAAATGGGAAAAGTGCTGGATGAAAGGACGGACGGTAGGAAGGAAGGAAGTCCTGTGAAGGCAACTCGTGCTGTGTCATGAGCAGCTGGATGTATCCCAGCTATCTGGTTCATTTGCCCGATGGTTGCTGATGTGGCTGACTCATCTGAGACTTGGTGCCCCCCCCTCCATCCCACCACAATATTAAACTACTATGCGTGTTATAGCAAGTCTAGCCTGCTGTAAGTCCTTAAAAGGAGAGACAGCTGTAACTAGAAGGAATGTTGTGAACTGCTTAAGGTTTCATTTCTTTAGCAAACACTCATTGCAAGATAATGAGAGAATATCCAGTTACCGTTTCAACTTTGTACTTAGGTGGATGAGATTGTGATGATTAGTATATTCCTGTGATGATGAGTATATTCCTGTGATGACTGCTGAGTCACACGGGTGTAATAAAACCAAACAGCCTGGATGATGCCATATTGTTTCCACCCTTTAAGGTTTGGAGATCCTACAAAAAGTCTGAGATAGTTGCTTTATCTGCCACCGTTCTTTTTCCCCCCCATAGTAAGAAAAAAAAAAAGAGATTTGGTGGAATAATCACTAGTTAAAGCTGCATGACTTCCAGCATGGCTCCTGTCCATTTGCTTTTGTGATTTCCCACAGCTCTAGATTAAAGACTTACTTCTTGGCTGTTTCTTCCACCTTAGAGATCAGAAGTGGGTCAGTATGACAAATGCATTCCAGAGGCTACGCCAGTGATACATGTTGCCAGTCTGCTGCTCCTTGAACTCTATAAAGGCTACTATCTTACGTCAGCCAGTGTAGCAGAAACTCTGATCCTACACATCTTCATGTGACAAGCAAACAGGCTACTGAGACTCTCTGCGCCGTTACTTTTTTGCTTAAGTGTGTGTATTTTCTCAGCTACCTCACAAAACCCATTTTTACGGCACACTGTTGTAGTTTCTCTTCTC